AGGGACAGTACAGGGCTCACATGGCTGACAAGGAGAGTCGCCGCCGTGACAAGAAGGTTATGAGGCTCTTTGGAGAGGATGTGTCGGGCGGGTCTGAGGACGTCATCACACCTGAGGCTGCCTGGATGTCAAAGCAGGGATACAAGTGGACCAGTTCAGAGGATGACCTCGAGGAGACTATCCCCGCCGCTGAGTCTGGCGAGGAGCACGAGGAGCAGTGGGACAACTTCTCTGCCTGAGCCACCCCGTGTGTGTAGGTGTCCTCTCTGCCTTTTTGGCGTCTCGATGCCAAAGGGGGAGAGAGTGTAGGGATTTGCGTTGTGTCGTGCTTGGTGTGTTTGTCTGCTTTGTCGTTTGGACCTCGTTTGCCTCGTTTGCTTTTGTTTGGTTTGTGCCTTCGAGACCTATCCTACATATGGTGTAAGACATATGCACTCTATCTATCTTAGTTAACTTATGTTTGTACTATCTTGTCTAGTGATAAATATGCCTTGTCTCTATAATATAGGGGGAGCTGTGTTCCTAGTATTCGTGCGCCATGCAGTCCATAGCACTCATCTAGGTGGCACACATCTAGGGGGGGGCGTCTATATTATAGAGAGGAGGGGTTTGCATTTACTTCATAGTATTTTCTTTGTGCAAATCCCGTTTTGTCATCAATCCACCAAAAAGGGGGAGATTGTAAAGTCATATTTATCCCTAACTGTTTTGGTGATTGATGACAACGCATTTGCAGACTAATCGTGTGCCATGAGTATCCCAGACACTTCTTTGCTAGGCACAAGACGATTGGGTGCCCCTCGAAGACTAACGAAGACGGCGTCTTTTCTACGTTTCTTTTTGGTGGATTTGAGTCGTAGGAAAGCCGTACTATTAAGAGGGGGTCCGCGTTGGAAAGGTTTGGGTGGAATCATCATGTACACGTCTCCTTCTTATCCCCTCCTTCTTCCTTGGAGCTTCCTCTGTTTTCTTGCCTCCCTTGTCTGGCTGCCGTTGTTGGTTGCAGTAGTACTGCTCCCAGGTCAATGTTAGTACCGTAGGCATCCGTGGTAGTACCGCGCGGTGGCGCGATAGTACCGCAGGAGCCCACGGTAGTACCGCTCCCCTGGAGCCGCACTATCGCTGCCCACCAGGCTAGTGCCGCCCCTTTGCGGTAGTAGGAGCGGATGTAATTTTTTACATCCGCACCTACCGCGGTAGTACCGTTTTCGCCGAGCGGTAGTACCGCGCTATGCAGTCAGGCAGTAGTACCGCCCCTTGGCAGTACTACTGTGTCGGGTTTTTGCTACTTCCGTTTCTTTGCGGAAGTAGGCACGGAAGTTTCCCTTCTCCCCTGGCTGGGTTTTTTGCCTCGCGGTAGTACCGCATGGGGGGCGCGGTAGTACCGCACGTGCGGAAGTACCGCCCCCAGCTTATGTGCGTCTGTTTATAGGTTCTGTGCTGGGGTTGCGGCAGTACCGTGGGTCGGTACGGTAGTACCGCACAGCCGTGCGGTAGTACCGCTTGGTTGCAAGCAGTAGTACCGCGCGGCCTTGCGGTAGTACCGCTGGCCAGGCGCGGCAGTACCGCTGGCCGCGGGCTGGTTGGTGGGTAACGGTTGGATCTGTTCCACACACTATATAAGGGGTCCCCTTCTTCCCCGTTGACTCACCTCTTCCACCACTAAGCTCCATTATTGCTCCAAGCTCCATTTTCGCCCGATCTCACTCCCTAGCCAACCAAACTTGTTGATTTGCTCGGGAGTGGTTGAGAAGGCCCCGATCTACACTTCCACCAAGAGATATTTGATTCCCCCCACTAATCCCTTGCGGATCTTGTTACTCTTGGGTGTTTGAGCATCCTAGACGGTTGAGGTCACCGCGAAACCATAGTCCATTGTGGTGAAGCTTCGTGGTGTCGTTGGGAGCCTCCAATTGAGTTGTGGAGATTGCCCCAACCTCGTTTGTAAAGGTTCGGTCGCCGCCTCCAAGGGCACCAATAGTGGAATCACGGCATCTCGCATTGTGTGAGGGCGTGAGGAGATTACGGTGGTCCTAGTGGCTTCTTGGGGAGCATTGTGCCTCCACACCGCTCCAACGGAGACGTACTTCCTCTCAAAGGGAAGGAACTTCGGCAACACATCCTCGTCTCCACCGTCTCCACTCTTGGTTATCTCGTGCCTTTACTTGTGGAAGCTTATTTGTTTCATATATCTTGCTTGCTTGTGTTCCTATCTGTATTGCATCATATAGGTTGCTCACCTAGTTGCATATCTAGACAACCTACTTTGATGGAAAGTTTAAATTGCTAAAGAAAAGCTAAAAATTGTTAGTTGCATATTCACCCCCCCCCCCTCTAGTCAACCATATCGATCCTTTCACATCTCCTAGATAGATCTTGCGTGATCGTAGGAACATTTTTGAAATACTGCGTTCCCCAACACGATGCCGTGGCGGTGACCCGGTTGGTGGTAGCCGAGGTGCTCATGGGCGGAGCACGTGGCACGGGCGCTGTCCGGTCAGCATGGCCGTGTGGGCGGCGTGTTGACCGGGGTGGGTCGTTCACCCAATCCGGTGACGATGAGTGTTGGTCAGGGTGAAAACCCGTTCTGCTTTGCCAGGCCAGCGGCGGTGGCGTTCTAGCGCCGTCCCCTTCTTGAAGGTGCCATCGCGGCATCTCATCTGTCGTCGTAGTGCTCCGGAGGAAACTCTAATTCTTGATTGGGTGGTGGCGACACGATGGTGTCGTTCCCTTGCTGAAGGCGCCGCTTTGGAGCTCATTGTTCATCTTACACGGCTTCTCCTCTTCGCGGTGGCCCGCCTATGGTTGAGGGCCCCGGCATCTTCATAGTAGTGCTTATTGTGTTCATCTGATGTTGGCTAGGATTTTGTTGGGGTGGTGTTGCTGTTATCAGCGTCCTTGTATCCAGCCTTGGGTGGGTGTGGTGTGGTGTTTGTGTTTGTATCGGCAGGATTCGGTTGTTTGGTAATGCTTTATCTATAAAGCGGGGAAAAACCCTTTTTCGTAGAAGCGACCATTTCCGCATCTTCCATTTTCCTAATAGATAGCCAGAGCCCTACTAGTGTTCTGAAATTTATTTTGCAAACATTTGGATTGCGATTTCTTATCACTTGTGAATTTTGTATAATGCACTTATACGCTAGAAATGAGTGATCGAGTAAAAGCCGTATTTTGACAACCACGCTAGTTTAATTATTTTTGGTGAGGTACTTTTATTTACTTTATATTACTATCATAACAGGAACATGCCAAACATGGCACCTTAGAACACTGTGCGTTATCTACATGCATTCACAACACATCTAGCATTCTCTACATGTACAGATGTGCTGTTACATGAGCATCTACGAAAGGTAAGCGTCAAAAATAAAAACCATCTATGAAAGGGCAACCTTTTTTTTTTCTCTAATCTGAACCCACAGTGCTGTCATCTAGGATGGGCGACTCGCCTGACCTAATTCAGAAGCCATTTTATTTCCTTGAGAAACTAGAATACTGTCTTACGAAAGCGACGAGGTAGCAAGCCATGTCCACGAATTCCCACTCCCCAGCGGATCAATTGTTCCAAGTTCCATTTCAGAGTCTTGTCTTTTCTTCTTTTGAGGGGATCCCAGAGGCCTGTCCATGAGGCGCTGTTTCATGGGCAGAGGAGGTCGCTTCTCCCTTTGCTGACAGAAAACGAAATGAGCCCCGCCGTTTCATCAAGGGAACTTTGGCTACGGACGTCAGTCACCTCCCTTTCAGGTGGCAGAGAGGATCTCCGCGTCAGGCGAACTGGTGCCGATTTAGATAGAGGCTTGCATGGAGAAGCCCGGCATATTTCCTTGATGCCACGTGTCAGCAATCCTGCACACTGCCCTGAAGAGAAGAGAGGATGATGGCTCTCCTCTCCTCCCATTTGTTTTAACCTTTCAGAGCATGATGATGACACAAGGGAATGGTTCATTTCAATATTTGCATCAATAAGCCTGCAATTTGCCGAACTTATGGTCTGTAGGCATTTTCAGGATTTGCATTTCTCCCGAGGAAAACCCGCTACCGCTTGCTTGGAACAATGCTAGGCTGACTCGTATTTGAGCTGAAAAAACAGTGTGGCGAGCGAGCAGAGGGAGACAGGCCTAGACGCCTAGTTGAGTTCAAATGCTGCGAATAGTCTGTTTTCAGAAAGGAACAAGAAGCAAATGCTGCAATTGGCAAGGCCGAGTGGTCACCGGCAAGTTGTTGGTAGATCTCTCCTCAACTTGTACAACGGGTATGGCTGGCTACTTGACCAAGCGAACACGCATCTGCACGAGCTCCTGAGAAATACGTATATGATTTACGTCTATATCAAGCATTTCGTATATTAACCCGTCTATACCAGGCATATTTTGTGCCTACGCTAACATTTTTCTTTTGAAATGCACCAACGATGGCACGCGTTTGGCCACATCCCACACGTAGCAATCAATCACATCATGATGGATAGCAACCACTGATTTATGCAGAGATACGGAAACACCACCGGCTGAATCGTATGCTGTCTCAGATAGACAGACAGACAGACAGCTACTCCCTCCGTCCTATAATATAAGGATCCTTATATTATGGGACGGAGGAGCACAATACATCCATTATATCTGAAAGATGTGCCCCTCTACTAGTGAGTGATCTTCAGTTGGAGCTCCGCATTATTATCATCTAACACGGCAGATGACAAGCGTTATTGGTCACAAAACTTAAGGGATCTGAACAACACAAACAGCACGCTGCATGCTTCAGTTCATGTTCAGTCCACACTCCACACAGCCAGCATAAGTTGTACACAAAACTAACAACACACACGCGGACAGACGACATCTCCCTATCGCTACAAGGAACGGCAACGACGAACCTGAACTGAAGAACTATGTAACGAGGCGAGTCCGAACCTCGTTATATCAAAGACAGACTCTCCACATGCATGAACGACAGGTAGGTACGCGGGAAGCTTGGAACGCCGTGATGGAGGCGCTTCGTGCTCACATCTGCACCTCCCTGCCATACACCCAGCTGAAGGGCATCTTACCGGCTTGCTTGGCCCTCGACTGGGCCCTCTCGTCCAGCTTCCGGATCCTGCCAGCGAGGGTGCAGAGGTAGTCCTGGGCCTTGTGTCCCTCACCAGAGAGGCCGGTCAGTTCCGGGACCTTCCACCTGCCAACGAGGAACTCGAGGATGTCGGCGTAGTCCCTGGCGGTGTACACGCCGAGCCTCTGCGCCACCATGGAGAAATGGTCGAACAGCTTCTCGTCCTGCCCATCGAACATCAGGTGGGCAGGCATCGCGATCTTCTTCCTCATCATGTCGGCCAGAGCAAGCACGGTGCCATCGGGATCAATCTCAAACAGCTTCTCGACGATCTTGGTGTATGCAGTCTCATGCCGCTTCTCATCTGAGGCGATGATGCCGCAGATCTGCGCGAGCTTCAGGTCACCGAAGTCCTTGGCATGGCGAGCGGTGTTTCCATGTGAGATGAAGGTCGCGCGCTCTTGGAAGGAGGTGTAGATGAAGCCAAGATATGGGTTGTTCTCTGTCCTAGGGTCCTGAAAACAGAACAACAAAGAAGTATATGTCAGTTTTACGTACTTCTCTGTGAAATAGCCCCTGTTCAAGAATTCATCCGATTAACCAGTTAAGTTGCCGATTAATCCCTACTCGTAGGGTCACCGAGTAGCCGATAAACTCAAAAATCGTCCGATTAATTGATTAAATGGACGATTAACTTGCCGATTAGTCGATTAATCCCCTACTCACCAGCCAACCGAGCAGCTACCAGTTAACGATTTCCTCAACAATGGAAATAGCCAACATGAACAAAAACAGTTCAAGGTAGAGAGAATCCACTGGAAGATATCACAGTTTTTCATAGTATGATTTACTGTCTTAGAGGTGCTCTCAAAAGAATTTCATGAAAGCAATATGTTTAGTACGTACATGCCAACTAGCTAAACATGAGTATGGAAGAGGCATGAGCAAGCAAAAAAAATGTGGTTAAGAAAGATAGGCAGTAATATGGCCAATAAAATGGTTGAACAAAGCTGTTACCAACTTACCATTCCAGAGCCAATAAGATACTGAATTGTCTTCTCAATTTGCCTCATGTCCACTCTCCCAGTGAGGTATAGATACTTGTTTAGGAGGTCACCATGCCTATTCTCCTCAGCAGTCCATGCCCTCGTCCAAACGGCCCAAGCAGTGGGGCTTGCACCTGTTTCATCTCGGACACCATCGAGGGTGTTAAGCATAGTCTGGTATGTAGGAAGGGCTTCCTCTGTAATCATGTCTCCAACCAAACAAACAAGATAATCATCAGGAATTTCCTTGGCACGTTCTCTGAGTTCCTTAACTTCATCGTGAAATCCATCAGATGCTGGATCAGGGAGGAAATCCTGTGGCTGCCAACACTTCTCAACTGGCTTAAGATGCAGCAACAGATTATCTCTAGCCCAACCATCAAGAGACTGAAATATTTCCATCTTCTGAGGTGGCATCGAATGTGTAACCTGGACATGAACCTCCTTTGGAGGAGCAAACGTCTTCTTGCTCTCAATCCTGGAATATAAAATAAAACAACATTCAGCAATACCCATGTATGTGATGACAACTCCATCACCTGCTTTAGGCATTTGGCACTTGTGGGAGAAGACATATGTTGATGTGGTTAACATGCCAGGTTATTTTATTTTATTTTTACTCAGGTTGCTACTAGTCGTGTACTCCAGAGATTTAAACTAGTTATTTACCTATATCATGCAAAACAAACACATGCATTGCTACAGTATGCAATGAATGATACAGCAAAAAAATGCAGAGACACCCATGTGATTCAAATGTGTCCCAAGCACGGAATCACTATTTAACTGCCCTAGAAAATTAACAACCAAACTTTTGTCTTGTTCGATTTGCAATGAATGAATAGCACATATAACATGGAAAAACAGAATTGCTGGAGCATATGAAAGGGCAAAAACAAAAAGGTCATGACATCAAAACTGAAGCCCAGAAGCGATGGAGTTGCCACTCTTAACGCCTGGAGTAACATTTTTGTAGTGTATATAGGAGTGTAACAAGGTCTATACTCAGAACATATGACTTCTAAGAAAAAGGTATTTCATAAATTTATATGGGTTCAGAAAGATAATCCACCAGGTCACCTTATCTTTCTTCAGTTTTTCAAAAACTTAGGCATGCCTGCAATTTTTTACTTCGACATCATAAGCAGAGTATGCATGAAACCAGATTGTACAGTAGATTTGGTTAAATCTGAACCCATGCCGCCAAAGATTACATGAGATATGATATCACCACGCCGACCAGGAAACAAGGTAGTATAAATACTGATATGGACTGTATGAGTTACATACAAGATACAAGGGACTAGTGCGACTGTATCTGGTACTGTTTGGTAATGATGTTACATTCAGATATCATGAATTGGAGATGCTAGTATACGTCCATAAATGCACACAGGTGGTTAGGTTAGTAGCTGATGTCATTGACCTACAGGCCCATGCTGTATCCCATGCCAACCACGATGTGACTGTGACCCCTATAATGAACTTATTAATGCAAGGATTGCATCAGCCTTATTAGGCTAGTATTTCGTTCATATCTATGTAAGTCCCAAGTTCTGCATATCACTGTCACTGTGAACGAATCCTGGATGGAAGAACTAAGATAGTCTGAGAAACAGAAAGACAACTACCACTAGCAAGCTGTCAGACTCACTCTGCTACTCTAACCTCATTGCCAGATCTAACTCAGAAAAAATACTCTTGGGTGCAAACCAGGTTCTCTGTTACAGAATCAAGTAGTACAAAACCTACTTAGGTGAAGTTCAGACAGCAGAGTATCCATGTTCTGCGAGAAACCTCATCATTTTCAAACTTTCGGCATGAAAATCTCGACTCATTTAATTTCTAAGAAACATAGGCCAGTATGGAACAATGGATGTCAAAGCACCTACGGCATGACACAGTCAGTCAGTCAATCGGACCCATCCTCCTTCAGGTGTCGTCCTCCTAAACCCATCCCCCATCAGGTGTCATGCTCCTAAACCCATGCTCCTTCAGATGTCGTCCTCCTAAACCCATCCTCCATCAGAGATGTCATCCTCCTCCTAAACCCATACTCTTTCAGATGTCATCATGCATTTAATAACTCGAGGAAACCGTCAAGCGAGCAGATGAACAGCACAGGGCCGTCATAAAAACAGCAGCAACAACCTAGGACAGCAAGCAACTGCGAAAATTAAATCCCGCCGGTACCGAGAACATGGCATGGACCACAGCAGGGCTGCCGAATCAGGCCGACAGTGATAGTTCACCTCGGTCTCCGACGTACTATAACGAAGTGGAGTGCTTGATGGTGAATGAGTGAGCGATGATTGCAGGCCGTTGAGCCGAATGAAACCGACCTGAACCACCGGCTCCCACGGACACGGCCACCGGCCGGCCAGTACTGAAACAGAAGGCAGTTAATGGAGACGACTGCGTGGGAGTGGTACCGCGCCCGGAGCCATTCTGGGATGGGATGGGATGCAACAGTAACGCTCGCGGCACGCAACATGAAGGCCCCAGCGGAGTTTAATGTGGAACGCACTGACTGGCGATCTGCAGTTCGGGTGCGGTGGGGTGGGAAGGCAAAACGAACCATGGGAGCAGGGGGCTCGGGGCTGGGGTCGATCCGCACAGGGAAACTGGTGGCCTGCGCTCGCAGAAAATTAAATGGCAGCGGTTCTGCTTCCACTACTGTTGTGTTTGCGCCTGATCTGAGGAGGAGGATGAGAGGGACGGCGGCGGCCATGTGCGGATGGCTGGCGGCGGCGCCGCCGGGGCGGGGAAGTCGAATCTGACGACCCAGAACGAAGAAAATGGCTGAATTCACATAACGGGAAAGTTGTTCATATCTGGACAGCGCGCATCGCCGCCAATCCGGAACAAACTGGCGGCGCCTCGGGCTGACGATCCATCCATCCAATCTATCTATCCACGGAGGAGAGAGGACGGGGGTAGAACTCGCCGCGAACTGGTGGGGAGAGAGGGGCGGCTTACTTAGCGGAGGCGGAGGAGGCGACGGCGAGGACCCTGACGCTGGCGCTCCTGCGGGCGCCGCGGCCGGCGAGGGGGGGCGTGACGCCGTGGGGGCGGAGCGCCATCCTGGAGGCCATGGCCGGGGGGGAGCCGAGCGCCGCCGTGGCCGTGGTACGCCGCCGGCGCCGAGGAGCGGGTGGATTGGGTTGCGAGTGGTGACGAGGAGAGATGCCGATGCGGGGGTGTGGGCTGGCCTCGCCTCGCGCGATCCCAGCCTCAGGTTTTCTCGCCCCGCGGCGCGGCGGTGTCAGTGTGGGAGCGAGGGCTGGACCGCGGTCGACAGGAGCCACGGGTGCGTGCTGCTGGGCCGCCACCCGGCCGCTCATTTATTCCTCGCTCGCTGCTCCGGTCGTCACGTTTTTACCGATTTGGCCTCGCTTCAACTCGGAAATAAATTAAAAAATACTACTGATTTGGCCTCGCTCGTCTGCAATTTTCTCACACTTGGTCGGCACCGGGGCAGCTGGGCTAGGCCAGATGGTTCTTTTTCGCCACGCCGGGGTGGAGTCTGGATCTCCTTTTTCTTGAAGTGGAGGACAAGTCATCTTCGCCTTTTCACCAAAGGCGATCTCACTTTCTTTCCTTCAATGCTCGGTCTTATTTTTTTATGTGTATTGTTATTGGTAGGTTAACTAAATAATGCTAGCTACTTCTAGGACTTCAATGGCTGACGAACGTTCGCGGGGTAGGATGGTATTTGCTAACGATCCCATGACAATTTTAGCTGTATAGGATGGCATCTTCAAAACGTAATTCTAAGTAGATTGATCGGTGCAGCCAACTTTCAAATTTGATTTCGTATGTTCGTTAGTTGCCTTGAGAACAAAAAAATCGCTTCGGTCCATTCCCCTATCGCCGACGTTGTCGATTAGTTCGTGGCCACCACCCTAACCGTCGGCCAACGCCACTCGCGACGGCACCGTGGGCGCGTTGGCTGACCACCCGTCCCATTTTGCCTTAGTCGCCTCGACCGCCGAGCCTCCGCCGCCCCAACCATCCTCCAACACCTCCTCGTTCGTGTCTGGCGCGCCCTCCCAAGTCAATCCTCATGCGGAGAACTGTACCATGCCCTTTCCCATTTGCAAATCAAACCAAAATCGCAAATAACCATAATGTCTGGAAAGAAATCCGAGCAAAAAAAACAACATAAAAAGGACACTGTAGGTGGGGATGGGACTGGAATAACACACAGGGAAAAAAAGAGATCATGTGTGCAATTCACCATCCTTCATTGCGTCCCCTAAAAATAACCTGTCATTAAATCCAGAAGATCACACGGTTGCGTCCCGACGGCGACACGCGGCCAGCGAGCGGTGCATAAACATGCTGGCACTGGTATACCACGGTGGGTTTAACTGAAACTGTGGGCAACGTTGTGCTGCGGGGACGAAGTGGGTAAGAATATCCCAGCGTTGGAGGCAACGTATGTTTTTCTTTTCTAGTCCTAATATTTTACAGTTCCTTCTTTATTGTAGTAACTTGCATGGGCAAAAAAAAAAGTAACTTGCATGGGCACAACTGGAATTCCACACACCACCGGCCTCCCCCGCCGCACGCACTCTCCCAGGGCCATGGTACAGTAGAGACTGTAGAGTACGAGCGGTGACGCCGGTGACGAGGCTGCTCACGTGGCTACGTCGGACGTAAGACGGAGGCTGGCGCCACACGTCCGGCGCGCCGCCGGGGCCCGGGCGACAAGTGTGCGGCCGTCGGGCGAGCGCGGCACAGGTGGAACCACCGGAGAGCATATGCTGGGGCGCGCCTCTGTCTGGGCGTGGAAACTACTGGCGTCTCCACGTGATCCCAAGGCCAGCCAGGGGGTCGTACTCGTGCTGGTCGATGATACCGAGGCGCGGAGAAAGGACAGAAGTGATTCCGTCACGCACGCACCGCCACCGTCCCGGCCGGGCGGGCGGTTCGGTCTGGCACCAGCAGCCGCCGTGCACGCCCGCACGCACGTGTCTCCGGCCCGTCCCGTGCCGACTGTGGGTGGGTACGAGATCGCGATCCCGCCGGCCCGTCCCGTGCGATCGGTCGCGGCACGGCTCGAGGCCTCCTGTGGGCGGACGGGCATGCGGGTAAGTACCGGTGGTCTCTCCCGAAATTGATGGAGAGGCACCGTGGCCGTGACTTGGTTCCCTGCACCTGCACGTACGGTGCGGTCCCATGCGCGCGCGCGCACGTGTGTGTGTCACGCACGGCTTAGTTAGTCGTGCGGTACTTGCTGGGTCGGAGCACGGGGCGGTGCCAAACTTGTGCGATGGAATGTACCACGGCCGTGTTTTGTGCTGCGCCGTGTTTTGAGCTCTCAAGGCCGTGCGTGCCGTGGTGGAGTATGCATTGAGCGCCTCTTAGACCGTCTACGGCCGGAGTTTGCAAATCTTGCGTCTTAAACGCCCGCGGATGCGACCGGGCATGTACGCGGTCAGTGACCGGTTAAATCTTAAATTTATCATTTTGCATCCGCCTCACTTATACTTTATCCTCTAAATCCATGCAAAGCATGTAAAAGAAAGTCTACACACTACATCTACATACTAACCTAGCAACTATTCATCGTCGGAGATGTCCACGACGATGGTGCCGGACGCCGACTGGACTAGCGGGTAGGAGGGCTCATCCTCCTCCTCCTCTACCTCATCGATGCAGGTGAGCATCTTCGCCTCCTCCGCCGCCTGTTGCGCCTTCATCTCCTGCCGACGACGGCGTCTTGCCTCCGCAGCCGACTCGACCGGAGGGAATCGAGGATGGTCTGCTGCTCCGCCTTCTCCGCGGCCTGCTGCACCTTCATCTCCTGCCGACGACGGCGTCTTGCCTCCGCAGCCGACTCGACCGTAGGGAATCGAGGATGGTCTGCTGCTCCGCCTGCAGATCCCTGTCGCCAGCGTCTCCAACATCCACCTCCTCCGGCTCATCCCCTCCTCCTCAAACTCCTCCTCCTTTGGATCCATTGCATCCGGAGGTAGCACCGCGGCGATCCGGGCTTCACGCCTAGCCCAGATTTGCTCAAGGAGCTTGAGCCAGCGCTCGCGCATCAGACAATGGCTCGCTCCTCACTCAGCGACGTGAGGGCAAGGCTACTAGGCAGACGGGTGGAGTGAAAAGTGACAGGGCGACGGACAGGAAAAGAAAAATGTGGATGGATGGTAGAATTTCGATGCCGTCGGACAACTTAAATAGCCAGGCAAAGCATTACGCGGCCCGCCAGAGTTGCGCCACACGACGCCTCTGGTCCAACAGAGGAGACGAGCTCCAGACCTTTGGGTTTGAGGGCGTTTCTAGCCAATATCGCTTCGTTAGTCCGACGTGAAAGACGTATCCGGATGTCCCTATATTCGTTTTATATTTAACCTGGATATGAGGGGTGCCGATCAGCTTGGTTTTTTGAGGCCCGTTTGGAGTGTCCGTCTTAGTCCAAAAAACGTGATCGATTAGTGACCGAAACGATCCACGCGAACCGTTTGAGGAGGATTTGAGGTGCGGGACCTGTTATTGACATGACAGACACACCAGGGCGGGCCCTGTGTGTCGAGGCCCCGCACGACTCGAGGCCTCCTGTAGCCCTCCACACCGGCCCTGTTTGGACCCGTGAGCACGCGACTTGGATCCCTGCACGTATGGTCACCGTTTTTTAGTCGTGCGGTCCTTTCTTTCGGTTGGGACAAGTCGTGCAGTACTACTGCTACTTGGTGGGTCGGAGCACGGAGCGCTGCTTACCTTGTGGGAAGGAACGTTCTCGGCGCGTGTTTTGTGCTGCATTTTTTTTGAGAGATGTTTTGTGCTGCATTTGCATTTGCGTTTGAGCTATTGAAATAGGGCGTGTGATACTGTCCTGTCCTGTCTGTGTTTTTTTTTTTTTGCGGGTGGTGATACTGTCCTGTCAACGTTGCAGTAGGAGTACGAAAGTTCGAAGCGAGGACCGCCTCTAGTTAGGTGATGGGGTCGGGTGGGCATGATTTAAGTCGAGTCAGAATGCTCGTGTTATCAATCGCATCGTGTGACGAGACGATGGTTGCACTCGCGCGGGAGTGTGGTGGTGGTGACTGGTGTGTGCTGGGTACGGCGGGAGAATGTCTGATCCACCGCACGGTAGATCACATGCCCCGGAGCCAGTCGTGCGGTGAGGCATGGACGAACGCCTTGACGCTTTCACGCTTTTGAAATCCTTTTTTCCTTTTTTTTGTTCTCTCTTTCACATCTTTCTATTTCTTCTCTTTTCACTATCTTCTACTCCCTCCGTTCATTATTATAAGACGTTTTGGACAGCTAGCTTTGAACTGTTTTGGGCACTGTCTCAACTGTCTAAAACGTCATATAAAAATGAACAGAGGAAGTATTTCCTATTTTCTTGTTTTTTGTCCTTATTTTAAGTAACATATAATCTTTCAAAAAATATATGAAGATTGTTATTAAAAAATTGTTACTTCCTCCTGTCCATATTAATTGCTGCAACATTAGTACAGCTTCGTTGTCGGGGAAACTGATCCACGAACATCTATGGGGCCGGCGGACCGGGCCCCTTTCGGTTCGGCGGGGGGGCGGAGATCACACGAAGAGCAGATCGAGGCGAAGCACACGAGCAGTTTACCCAGCTTCGGAGCTCTCCGGAGAGACAACACTCCTACTGCTGCTTGTTTGATTATCTTGTGTTCTTGCTCCAGAGAGAGAGCGTAGTGTTTTTCTGGGTTCCGAACCAGTCCAACCCCCCCCCCT